TTATTAAAATTATGCGCCGTTATCATAGAGTCTTCTGATTGGCCAAAGTTGTCGTTGTGAAGGTCATTTGTTTTGGTTTGAGCTGCTATAGTTTTAAGTCACCAGTGCTTGGATTATATTTTCCAAGCTACAGATGTAAGTTGTTGTCTGAAAGTTGACTGATGCTTTTTGGGTCCTAGAAAGCAGGGAATTCCCATCAAATATTCGGAAAAGATGACTTCTGATGTTAAACCTAGCAGCTACATAGAAGATGTAACATAAGTTCCTGTAGTCAGACAGTAGATCTTGATAATTCCATTGGATCTACATTCCTACGATATTTAATAATAATAATAGTAATAATTTGCTTTATTCCAAAACAGTACATGTGATACAGAATAGAATTCTCAGCATTTTTACTACAGTATTGCATCCAGTTAGTATATTATCAATAAATAGACTTCTACATAGATTAAGGAAATCTCAGTCCATTATGACAACAACATATTGGAGTGTCGGTAGCAAAGACAAAGCTGAACAGTGTTTGAAGGTGTTAGAAAAGTAGGTGCTGTCATATTTACTGGCGTAAGCGGAAGAAAGAAACAAAGCAGCACGTAATTGTAAAAAAGAGAGACAGAGAGAAAAGGAAAAGAAAGAAAGACAACGTCGTACCTATTAGTGATATGAGTTGGAAAGACGAGTTCCAGTTGTACTACTGACTATTTAATGAATTATAGGTGTCACGCCTAATGCTTTTTTTTATCACACAGAACACGAGCTAAGTAGGGTATGGTTGAGTTTTTATACTTGCTGGTGCGAGCATGTAGTTTTCTATATAGGCTTCTGGTTTTACCTGATGAGATACAAGGGGAGAGTTGTGAGTGAAGAGGGTGGTGTGAGTTAGATAAAATGGATTTGGTCCATTTTTCACATGAGTTCAAGTGCCTGTGGACCAGAATATTAACAAGCTGGTTAAGTGGCACGTTGCTTACCCTACTGACAACCTTGAACATCCTGCGTAATATGTTATATTATTATTATCACGATCTAACTCAGCAACAAAATCAATAACTTCAGTAATGAATTACATAGGCTCAAATCACATTTAGGGATTGAATATTTTTTGAATTTTCGAAACAGTTTCGACTTTTCAAGGTCAATAAAATGAGTCTTTCTTGCAGACTTATCTTCATCATCACAAATCAAATACTGATTTGGCGAAAGTAAAAACAAAAACATTCCTGAGTAACCTTTTCATTTTGTGACAGTTTTTAACCGTAAGCTTTTAATCCCGTGATTAATCACTATGTAAATGTTGTCACGTAATATTTTCGAAATCAAAATCTTCCTTACGCCTGTTTTCTCCAAACAAAAATTGATGTGAATAGGTGAAGGTCGAAACATGTGTCTACTTCACTTCAAAAACAGAAATCACAAAAGGTAAGAGGAGTGTGTGCGTCGGTGGCACAACAGCAAGATTTTTGGGATTCGATCGCCGGCCGACGCACTCCTTTGCCTCGCTCAGCCAGTATTAAGACTGGCGAAGGGAGAAGGTTGGGCATGAGACGAGCAACTCCATCCCGTAAAAATAGATATTGCTGCTACCGAAACTTTAATGCTCCAGCTTGAAGAAGCTCTATGTTCCACTAGGAACGTTAAGGAATATTTTTGATTGAACACTAGTCAGTAACTAGTGTAATGTGTCTAGTCCTATCTTCGGTGCAGACTGAATTCTATCAGTCAGACTAGACACATTACACTAGTTACTGACTAGTGTTCAATCAAAAATATCCAATACAGTCCTACAGGAGGTCAGTCGCGAGCCTGAACAGCTCAGTGGTAACGTCTCCGACTGCAGCACGTGGTGATGCGGGTTCGAATCTCAGAAGGGACATCAGTTCCTTCAAGGTTGCAGATACGCCTTGCTGATGAGTGCCAACAAGCACGAAACCTAGGTCCAAGGCTTCCTGCCGATCGCCTCCAACCATCTGGTACGTTAAGGAATAAAATAAGAGGAGTGAGAGGGAAATTCTGCCTACCACCTCTGACAACAACTTTAATCGACTCAACAAACAGTGCAAACCAATGAAGAGTCCAAAATTAGGACGAAACAGCTGCCCATTACTCCCAGGATTTCCAGTGGTTCTCTAACCGATGTCAGCTCATGATGAAATCCTCCATGCAGTTAACACTGAGCTATTTGGGATGCGATTGACATCCTCTAGGACTGTATTAAATATATCGGCGGGTCATTAGGGTTTAAATAGCAGTCATTCGTTAGATCCTTGGCGTTAGTGCTGGCTGAACTTCACTAGTCTAGTTGCGTCTACTAATGAGTTTTTTAACATTTTAATGTGTCAACCATTCGTTAGATAATTCCCAACATTTTTTCAATCGTAGTTCCCATATAGTCTCACATTTTCATTTTTACTATTCTTCCACATCATAAACAGCATCACTTAACCACAGTTTTGCAATGCGACACATACCAAATTAAATCATCTCTAAAGTGGAGGTTATATCTGATTGTCAATCAAACGACAGCTGTACCGCGCAGCATCTCTGCCTGTCTTCCATTATGCCTGTGGGGCATAGCCATTGAAGGTGGAAGAATTGAAAAGGTTAGCTGTATCTGACCAGAAATGTTTGAGTTCTATCTTCCACTTTATATTATCCGTAGAGTGCTAACAGAGGTTATGAAGCCACATCAAATGAGATGGCTAGGACAGATGCTATATTTACCCAGCTGCAGGTGTCAAACAATGTTGAGTTGAAAAAAATGATGGGGGTGATCAAACCAAAATTATCGCGTCAATGCACAAGGGCTATGACAACTGGTTTGGGCTAGCCTTTATAATGAGGTGAAAACTGGCTGGTTGGAGTCCTCAGGATGTTAAGAACAAACTGTTGTAGACTGTTGGTGATATGACTGAAAATCGTCCTCACAAAGTGCAGGTGCATCCACTCGTTGTGAATGTTTGTGCTACATGAAGAGTAGCAAATTGAACTGCTGTACTTTTGTGCAATGTTCTCCGTTGAAACTTAACTAGTCAGTTAGTCATCTCTCAATTCATACAATCCCACTTTCAAATATGCACAATAGTCGCTGACCTTTTCATGTATAGATTCGAAAATAACATCTTTTCAAACATACTCACTCCTAAAATATGGTTAAGATATGTAGATGATACTTTTGTAGTGCGAGTTCTACACATTTCATTCTTAGAGAAACGAAACTATCTATCTCCCAGCATCCACTTCACTTAGGAAGCCGAATCAGATGTCGTTGAACTACCATTTCTAGACTGCCTAGTTAAGAAGAGAGAAAACAGATATTTTAATATATCTATATTCAGAAAGAAAATCCACTCCAATATGTATTTAAACTTCGGATCATCACACCCCATCAGCGCGAAGGTATCAGTTGTTTCAAGTCTTCTTAGAGAAACACACTCTTTGATGTTAACGGATGAGAAGGAAAAAGAAGAAGAAATATCAAACATTACTGAAATTCTCAAGCAAAATAACTACCCAATGAATATCATCAACAAAATCAGTACTGAAATTAAACATGGTCGAAAACGTATTCCGAAGACATGGGCTACAACAGTTTTTATCGCATATAGGTTGGAGACATCAGACGATATCAGAAGAGTACTCAGTAAGCAAGACATAAAAAAATTAAACACACTACGAAGCGACCTTGTCCACGTGAAAGATCAAATCGCTAAGGATTCTCTATCTGATTGTGTCTATAAAATAAAATGCTTGGAATGTGATGCGATACACATACATCGGACAAACATCTCGAGAAATCAAAATCAGAAGAAATGAACACCGTAGAGCATCTGTTCGACCTTCGAGAAGTCTAGTTGAACTAGAAAAGCTTGACAAATCATCAGTCATAGCTTGTCTATACACTATAGAATCAGGCCACAAAATTGATTTTGACAATATTGAAATCGTCATCCAGAAAAACTTCAGAAATCACAAAGAACGTCTAATATCTGAAGCACTTCATATCAAGTGGAATCCAAATTGTCTGGTGAATAGGAATGATGGACTCAAACAGAATCTGACCTGGTTACAACATCCCCTCCCCCATGAAGTGACAAAATCAACATGAATGTGAAAAGCGATTTCATTATGTAAACACACGCTGCTTTTATAATCCTATACACCGATCAAATCCAACAATCTACACCTGTTTTTGTTATCTTTACCAATTGGCCAATTTGACAACGCAAAAATAACCCAGTATTGAGGAACGATGATCAAGTTAGTAAACTTGGTTTTGATACCATATTACCTCTGTTATTTGGTTTAGTGATCTTCATTGTTATTTTTACCTTCAATATGTCCTTTTGATTTAACTCGACCAAAGTCTATTTTCTCACCCCTTAACTCTTTGTTATATATATGCTGAGATTTGTAAATTCCGGTTTAATAATACTTTGATAAAGCTATTAGCAGCATTAAATAGCGAAACGTCAGTAAAAACAACAATATCGTTTTGTTTTTCATTCATTCGGAAATACAAGAAAACCTTTATTACATAATGAATATCACATACCTAATGTCCAAAACATTTTTCAAACTGTTAAAATTGAACTTGGTTTGGACATATATATGTATAGCAGCATACTAAATCCTATCTTTATTTATTTATCCAGCCTTCATGAAACGTATCAGCAGATACCTGCATCATTTACTAGAAATAAATCGAAGTAACTCAGGATATCCTGAGATACACATGCTCAAAAATGGCCGAAAGAAGCTTATTGTTCACATAACTTTCAAAGACAAACTTATAAATAGAACTTACCTTCAATCTATATTATATTGATTGATTTTTATGTAATAGATCGCGTGATCTGCCAAAATGATAATATTAAATAAATTCGATGACTTGAAAGCTGACGACATTTATTTGCTTTCGCCGTTAAGTTTTGCTTCTTTTGTGTTAGACAAACCATCATTGGTGGATTCGTCACATACAATTATTCATTTTCAACAATATTATGTGTCATTGGGGTGAATGTCAAGCGTTGAATAGTGTAAAACGTTGCCGTTTCTGTGGTACAAAATTCTGTACAGAATGTGGACGTGGTGAATTCTACGGTGTAATGGTGACATTTGATAACTGTCAAGTGTGTAAGGCAGCAGATTATCAAGAGGCTGTACCAGAACCTCAAAAGCGAATTCTTCCAGTGGTAGTGGTGAAAAAGAAAAAGCCTAAGACACCAAGTCGACGAAGACTATACTAATTATAGACGGAAGTAATAATAATAATAATGAAGAGTATATATACACGTGTATACATCAAGAAGAAAACGGACTACTGATACTTTCAATGACTGTTTCAGCGTAATTTTTCAAAAAAAGAAATATTATTTGGCTTGATAAGCAAAATGAAATAATAATAAAATATAAGTCTTCTCAGAGATTAGCTGTCAGAATTAACTGAAGAAGGAAGAAATGAACACATTGGGACATAATTACCCTAAACATTTTTGTACAACCAACTTCTGCAGTCCACTTATGTTAAACCAATCAATAAGCATTTTGTCGCCCGTAATTATGGAACATAAAGTCAATAAACTAATGAGTTAGTATCTGTTTCTTGTGTTTTGAGTGGAATATAGAGCCACAGTGGTACATATTCATTATTATTATACTATTGTTTCCTTCAATTCATAGAGGAACATAGGGCTACAGCCGTGCGTCTGCACTGCGTTCGGTTCTCTGCTAGAGTCTTCACCTGGCTCCAAATCTGCCCACATGCTTTCATCTCCTCTTCACATGACCTCCTCCAAGTAATCCTTGCACTGACTACCAACTCGCCGCTTCTCTTTCGGGTTCCACTCGAGCAATGGCTTGTCTAGTGATGTCACTTGATGGTTTCCTCAGAGAATGGCCAATCTATCTCCATTTCTTTCCGCATATTTGTTTCACAATCGGTTCCTGGTTGGTTCGCTCACTGCCAGAGATCCCTGTTGCTGACCTTTTCTGGCCATCTGATCTTCAGTATTGAGCGAAGACAACTGTTAATGAAGGTCTGTAGTTTGTTTGAGATGCTCTTTATGACGCGCTGGCCAAGTCTCTGATCTGTATAGTAGCACTGACTTCACATTGGAGTTGAAAATCCGGATCTTATTTTTGATGCTGAGTGCTGTTGACCTCCACACAGACTTGAGAGTTATGAAAGCTTGTCTTGCTTTTCCGATTCTTGCTTTGATATCCTCGTCAGTTCCATCCGCCTGTAGTTGAAACGATACTTCCCAGGTATGTAGGTAAAAGAGGTTGTTTCTTTCAGGTTCCTTCCATTTATGCTGATTGTTGTCTGTTGTTGTTGTTGTTGGTGATGGTGTTGGCGAGGAATCTTCATCACCTCTGTTTTCTCTATGTTCACCTGAATTCCTATCTTCTCTGGATGCTTATTCTGCCAACTTGTTGCTTTTCACTTGCATATGTTACAGTTTGTGGGAAATCAGACATATATCATCGGCGAAGTCCAGATCCTCCATGGCTGTCCAGAAGCTTGTACATCCTCCTGATGTGATTATCACTACACTACCCTCTGACGTTTAATCTGCAGTTTCCTATTCAAATTCCACTCGACAGCCTAGGGTACGATATCACTACAGTGTCTCCTCAGAGTATGTCAAGTCTGTCTTCATTCCCTTCTGTAGATTTACTGATTGTTCCGTTGTTTAGCAATTTGCCTAGTCATCGCCTTCCTCGATGACGGGGAATGTTAGATGACATAGGATTCATCAGGTTGGAAAAGAGCTGGCGGCGGTCAAACCAAAACATTGCACCAGTCAATGAAATCCACAACAGTTAGTTTAAGTCAGCCAGCCAGGTAGGGAGATGTAGACTTCCTGGTTGGGGTTCTCGGGACAGTGAAAAGCAATGTCTGGAGACGATTTATGATATGGCTCAAAATCGTTCTCAATCGCTAACGCAGATGCATCCACTCCTTGTGACTTATGATATCCCATGAAACTATATTGTTCTTCGTTATTACTGTTCCTTTTGTCTCATATCCCTGTTTAATGTCCCTATTACACATTTCTTTTTACTTTCTTCTCTTGCTTTGTGTGCTACAAGGAGGGAGTGTGGCGACTTGAACTGCTGCACACCGGTGCAAAGGTCTACGCTGAAAGCAGACAGACAGACGATGAGATTTCTCCTTAAATACCAATAATCTATCATTTATGGACTATCAGAGTAGGTGGTGACATATGGATCACACTCCAAGAAATACTGAATTCTTTTTAAAGTCTTAGAACTAAATTTATAGTATAAGTCACCCTTTTGAAATCTCGTGTTTCCATGGTAACGTTGGCCTTAGTAGTTACGCCACTGATTTTTACTATTAGTATTTTAATGTCATTGGGTTCCAGGTAGAAAATAGGGTTTCGACAGCACATCTCCTTTACATTCTACTGCATGAAATCCTGTTTAGCTGCCACCACGATTTTCTATAAGCTCTCATCTCCTCCTTACACGATCTCCTCCATGTCATGCTCGTAGTTTCTGATTCAGGCTTCATTTGAGTGACTCGTGAGTTATGTTTTCTCAGTGTGTGTATGTGTTTGTGTGTAATTCATCTTCATTTCCTTTCTTGGGTGATAGATTCTTAGTTAGTTCTTTGCTGGAGTTCTTTGTTGTTAATCCTTCCGAGTTATGTGATCCTCAGTGTCGAAGGATGAGAGATATTGACAGAAGTCCTTGGTATTCTGTTGGTAATGCTTTCCATGACTCTCTCACCAAGTCTCTGAATGGTGTTGAAGAACTAATTTGACATTAATGTAGAAAAATTGGATCTTCATCCTTATTAGGGAATGCTGTAGATTTCCACCTTAACTTCAAATCATGGAATATACACATTCGATTATAGGGAATAATAAAAAGATGGTTGCAGCGAAGCTGTACATTCGTGGATTTATGACAAAACTAGGTGGGAAATTTCCAGGATGACTTCCCATCAAGGGTCAAATTAATAAAATTACAATTAGGAGTTAGAATTCCATAATAAACAGGCGGGAGGGGGTGGATAAAACTCAAACAAAGTAGAATCGTAATTACTGAGAAGATTGACAAATTGTGCAATTGGGGGTTAGAAATGGAGAAATAACAAAATTAGACAGGATGTTTATACAACGATGCATATACCAGTTTACTTGCTCGTGTGGAGCTGAATACGTCGGTCGTACCATGCGCCATCTTGAAAAATACGCTTGTGAACACTATCCAGTCTGGCTAGTAGAAGAAGAACGAAAATGTGTATATAGCTCAGTGACAGCGCATCTGGTCAATTCAGGACATTTAGCGCCATTTGAAAAATCCTTTAAAATCATATACAAGATTCGACCATACCTATCAAAGGGAGTAAAATCAAGACATCTGGGCATAACCGAGGCACCAGCTATGCAAAAGCTCAAACTCACGCTATGTATCCAAAAGAAATACGTCGAACCCCTGTCCCTGCCATGACCATCATAAACAGGTAATTCTTTTAACAGTGACCATCTCATTGCCTTTCTTATCCAACCTTCCTGTTTATTCATGTTATTTTCAAGGTTTTCTTAATCCCTATTTACACTACCATATTTTCATATCCGAACTTCCTGTCTAATTTGCCATTTTACTATTTCTACATATTTAATCCCCAACTGCATAAACAATTATTCGTCACATTAGTTATGATCCCACTAGATTTTTTATCCAACCCTCCTGTCTAATTTTGTTATTTCTACATTTCTAACCCTTAATTGCACAATATGTTAATCTCCCAATATTTATGATGCTACTTTGTTTGAGTTGTATCCATCCCGCTTTTTTTATTATGGCATTTTAATTCCTAATTGTAATTTTATTAATTTGCCTTTTGATGGGAAATCAATCTGGAACTTTCTCATCCATTTATTATAATTACACGAATGTACAGCTGTCTAGTTGATGGCTTTGTCGAAAAGAAAGCTTCAAATTAATTTAAGATCTGTCTTACTCTTCTAGTGCTGCCTTTAACATCCTCATCCGTGCCGTTGGCTTGTATTCGAAATGATGCTGCCTAGATAAGTGAAAGTGTTGACCTCTTTCAAATTTTTTCCGTTGACACTGACTGGTGTTCGTTGTTTTCAGTAAAACTGGAAAATACAATTAACAGTGTCTAGCTGGTCTAAGTACTTCATCTTTCAACTGGTGAATCACCACCGGTCGTGTAGAAAACACGACTTGAAGTTTACTAGAATTAAAGGTTCTTTGAACTGATTTTCTTAATTTCTTTGTAATTATTTCACTAGTTATATCGCCCATGAATTGTAGTCGTATGTATTACGGCTTCTTGTTTACGGATAGTGAGTAGTCCCTTTCCGCTTTCTTTGTCATGCGTTTCTTGATAAATTTGTTGGGATAGCTATTTTCAATCAAGGCATCATATGCAATCCTTAGTTTGTCTTCAATTACTTCTTCTGAGCTTATAGATCTGACCCTGTGTTTGAGGGTCTTTACCAAATTTATTTTGTAATGGAGAGGAGCGAAGCTGTGAAAATGTGTTTACTGTCCTGTCCGTGTGCCTTTCCTATGCAAACTACTACCATCCGGTTTTCTTGTTAGGAGGACATCTGTGAAGGCAATTCTATTCTGCGATTCCTCTCCTCACGTGAATTTCATAGTAGAATGTACTTCATTGAATTCAATTATTATTGTGTTCCTATCCGAATCATTATCACCACAAAGAATAAAGGTGTCATCCATGTTCCTGGCGAAAAATGAGAATTTTCTGATATGGTTGTTCAGAGGTCCATTTTTCAGTTCACTTAGAGAGAAATCTGCCAAAATGGGACCCGGTGGAGAGCCCATCGTCACCCCGTCCATTTATCCGTAAAGTGTGTCATCAAATTTGAAATGTACATTCACGGCACACTTTAATAACAATTCTTTTAGGATTTCCGTTGGAATGTCAATATTTATCGACCGGTTAAACACTTGTTCACATATGTAGTTAACTGTTTCTACTAGAGGTATATTTGTGAATAAAGGTGTTATGTCTAGAGATATCATGGCTTTGTCCTTGATATTAATATCTTTGATTTTGTCTACTAATTTAAATACATCTGTGACACTATCTTTCACTATCTGCCCATGCAAAGGTTTGAGAATATTTACTAACTATCTAGCTAGGGCAGATTTTTCATATCAAGTACTGGTCTAAACGCTACCTTCGGTTTGTGAACTTTAGGTAGGCCATACAATCTTG